GGATCAACCATTATAAACCTATAAATAAGACACATATAGACATATATATAGACATATTACATATAATATATGCAGATTATTCATTCATTCCATTCCATTCCATTCCATTTCATTCCATTCCATTCCATTCCATTCCATTCCATTCCATTCATTCATTCATTTAAATTATTCTTGCACTCACTCACTGGTTCGTTTGTTCATTCATTTATCCATCCATCAGTTCATTCATTCACTCACTCATTCATGCAATGTTTTATGACCGAAGGGTATTTGGTTGGTTTTGATACGCTTTTCGAATTCAACACCTGCCCCTTAGTCTCTCTCCAACCCGATATCTGCAAAATTCATCGTATTCCCATAGATCTTCCCATGGATATCCCCAGGTGCTGGCTTTGATCTCCACGTTTTCGCCACGTTGCGCCGTTGCGGCCAGGAGAAATGGTTGAGCCCCGTGCAGCTGAGCGACATGGCCGGCAACGCCTTTACGGCCCAGATCTGCTTGGCGGCCTTTCTGACGGCGCTGGCCGTGGTGGATCCACCCTGGGGGGCGATTGAAGATCCAGAGATATCCAATATCTAACATCTGCTCCTATGATTATGTCTGTATATATATATATATTTTTTTTTTCCCCTATACTTTTGGATATGTATATAGATATTGGATAAAGCAAATTGTGGACAATTCCGAATCGCTGATGTTGATAGCATTGCACCTTGCAAGGGCAAAGTATACCTTGCGTTTAGCGCCGGCTGCTTAAAGTGCAGCGGTGAACTTCGCTGAGTTTACACGGTGCAGGGGAAGCTGTGCAAATGGCTCTGTTCAGGTCCTCACTGTTCCAGTTGCATGTGAGTCTTTTGATGATTGGAGATCTCAGTAATGTCAACCCCGGATTAATAAGCCCGAGGCTGTTTAATTGGGCGGGTACCATTTAAGTATCAGATTATGACATATTCTGACTATTGGGGGAGTACCCCTCCTAATCAATAGACTCTCAGGACTCAGAAATCTTGGCCAAGGGATTCCCCTATAGGACATGGACAGGTCACTGCACCAGGGGTGATCGTTATTGCTGGCCGGCCATGCTCTGGTGGCCAGACAAATTCCATTTGGCGAAAAGGCGGCACCTGCAGGACAGCCACAGAGGACTCTCTTTCCCGGAAGAAATGAGCCATTTCGAGTTTGTGCGAAAATGAGGGTTATATACAGAGCAAACAATGAGATTTGAATACATATATTTTAAGAGGGATTGATGATGATGCTGCTGCTGATAATGATGATGACGATGACGATGCTACGGAATTCTTGCTCAATTTCAATCCCAAGATGTCCAATAGGAGAACTGGATAGGTCCCACACGTCTTGTTGCCCTTGGCCCAGGTGGACAGGCTCTGGCCAGCGGCTGTGTCAGATGTTGTGTGAAGGTTTTGGAAAACACTTGGATCCAGGAAAAAACTATGAACAAAGCCTTCTCAGAATCCAACAATGTCATGAGAATCATCCAAGCAGTCACAGTAGTCTAGGTCCAGCAAGCTTCGCACGTCAGGTTTGGAGAGGGGTATCGGCACTGGGAGATGGACTCCCTTCGAACATTGGTGAGAGACACGCAGGCAGGAGCATGTGGAGCTCTGAGCTTTATTGGTACAGCCGACATGGCAATGCGGACTCCCCATTTTTTCTTAAAAAGCAAGTTTAGCTGATGGAATGGAATAGAACTTCCATCAGCAATCGGTGCTTCGATCTATATATATATATATATATTTGGATCTTTTTTTTTGCCTTCAAGAAGTATGGCTGGAAAACAGCTGGGCCAATGCTGTGGGACTTTACCACAACAGGTCACCATCACTTCCCTGGCTTCCTGAACAGCTGAGCCTGCAAAAAACTTGAGAGGCTCTTGCGAACTGGCAGCCCCGGGAGGCAGATCCGCAATTGGAATCGGAGGATTGGATCAGCCTCTTGATCGAGGAATCCAATGATAGATCTGTTGTTTGATTTGGCTGGATACCCTCCGGTAAACCAACATAACTATGGACAATCACGATTTTTTAATGGGTAAATCGACTATTTCTATGGCCATTTTCCATAGTTTTTGTATGTTTACCAGGCCGGGTAGCCATCAGATTGTCTTCAAAGTTCCAGGCGATGCCACTGGGCTGTTCCCCAGACTTGGCCAGTGCCAAGCTGCGCTCCGATGAGTTGCTTTTCAGCGACTTCGAACGATTGGTGGAGCGGGATCCGGGGATTCGCTGGGTCGGGATGGCCACGAGTTTTCCCAAAAAATGTGGGCAAGTTTTATGGGCAAAAAAAATCCCGGGAAATCCCAAGAAATGGAGTTGAAACATGTTGAAACATGGTTTTGGATCTTTTATGGATCTGTTTAGGGGGCTTGGCCCCCACAGTCTACGGAGGAGCAAGATGTGGAAGCCCTGAAGGGTGAGGCGATTGGATGCAGTGTCGCTGCAGTAATGCACTGCACGCTGGGTGTGCTTGGGTTCCATCTCAAACCTCGGTTTCAATAAGATGTTGCTCCCCCTGTTTAGGGCGGCAATACCAGCTGAATCGTTTCTTTTTGTTTAATGAACTGAGTCGAGAATTAAACGAATACTTCTACCTTCCTGAGATTTCTATTTGATGCCACCGGTGTTTGCTTGGATGTTAACTTGTTGCACAGTGAGAGGTTGCGAGGACTGCCCAGCACCATGTTTACTTTCCAGGACTATTGCCTCAAGCAGTTAACTGCTTGGCGGTTTGAAAGATGCGTCATTTCCCATTGAAACATGGTGAATCAAGTGAAACACCAACCAGATGAAGCACTGGAACAGTAGCTTCGCTAGCAGGTGGACCCTCCACGTGTCTCGGTATCTGTGCCGCTCTGTGAGCTTCCAACGGTGCGCGACATGGGAGATGGCAGACGTACGGCAGATGTTTGTCAGTTACCCTCTGGTGAACTAACATAGCAATGGAAAATGGCCATTTATAGTGGATTTTCCCATTAAAAATGGAGATTTTCCATAGTTATGTTAGTTCACCAGAGGGTAGGAAGCGGGATCTCTCGAAAATGATCTTCTTTCAGGTGAACGATTGTGATTCAGAAAGATTTAGCATTCGCGGACTTGTTCCGAAAGAGCAGGGGGAGACAACCAAAGCACTCTCACACATTCAGAAAGGATGCCCACCAAAATCGTCTTCGATGTTCCTTATTGAGATGGATATCTTCTATAATATATATATATATGTATGTGTGTCCAATGTCTTGTCATTGATCACCGTCCTTCAATTTAGAAACATGACAAGTTGAGACAATGGCGTGGCACAAACTGCTTTTGCACTGCTCATGCTTCGAATTGTCAGGTCCCTTGATTCCCAACTTTGTTGGTTTGCCATGTAGGTTGGTCCATTTTTTGGTAGAACGCTATGCCCAGGGAAATGGCCATTTAAATCGGGAATATTATGGCACGAACCATCCATTTATGATTGGCTTTCCCAACCATTTTCAGACGCTGCCAGGCGCTTCGCGATCCGTTTGAAGCGTCAAGTTGTTGCCGGGCGGCCGTACATTTGCCGGGAAGCCAATCTTTGGGATGCGAAATGGAGTATGCGCATGGCACATGCCCAATTTATATCAATTTGTGAACACGATGATAAAACATGCGGGTTCTGGGGTGCCCAATTTCGAGAGGCACGTATAGCGTTTCCGGCATATAGACATATAATCATGTATGATCATGTATGTACATATGGAATGTCACATCCGACATGTTATCAAACTATGTTATCCTGGGCGCGCCTGTCACTGAGGTTGTCGTTGCTGTGCAACCAGTCGGAGCATCTCTCACAATCAGTTTGGATGCACAGTGATGGGTCCACTTGGATGAAGCAAGCTGAATGAGAAATCAAGAAAAGGCATGTCAGAATATCCTTTTCAGATCATCAATGTGGTAAATCACGGTGCATCCAACCGATCTAACCTCTCAGTTTGGGGATGGCTTCTACGACCGCTTACCCAGATTGCAGTGTGAGGCGTTGACCAGATTTGCTCTGATTGCACGGCTAATGTCTGGAGCCAAGATGATGCTATCTCTGGCGATTTGTGCCACGCAGTAACTGTCACAATCCCCCTAGGCGCTACTAGGGCCCTAGTACTACATACCACCCAGCAACCATGGGTTTAGTATGGTCATTTAGTATTGGATTTGTTCATTTTGGGGCCCCAAAATTGGTGGTGTTTCATATTATGAGGATGCGACTAGAAGCACATTTTCAATTTTCAAGCTCTGGCTGCTATTATAACTCTTAACATCCCTCAATCAAATTTGTTGCGTATATATATATATATATCTCTCTCTCTCTCTCTCTCCCTATTCATATTCCATTTTCATACATCCATCCACCGCGCCCCGTCTCAGGACACAGGTGTTGCCCATGCCATTACCATTGGATCATCCCAGCAAGGCGAGAAATTCTGAAAATCGACGGCAAGCTGTATGACTCCATGACTTTCGATGTGATATTTCCATATATTTCTGATTACATATTTCTTCCATCTATAAATAAATAAATAAATACACACACACACAGATATATATATATATATGTATGTTTCGTCGTATATATTTCTTGATTTGACCCATGACAAGATGCAGTAAATCCGCTCACCTGGCAGCGCAAAACTGTGTTGTCGCTGTCCGGTCCTCCCCGGCAAAGGAGTCTCGATGCTTTTGGATGCAAGAGATGAAACATGAGACCAAGGCGGACCTGGGAGGGGAACATCAGCTATGGCAGCTATGGTGGCTTTTCTGAACTTGAACTGTTGGCAATAGCAGTAACTCCTGGCACTAGGATGCAGCAGGTGGTTTCCCGCACATTTGTTGGGTTCGCTCTCTTGAAGTGTCACTAGGGGCCTGTATTGATTCATGGGACCAAGACTGCACCGGGAGAGGCAGATCTCATGCGACATCTTTTTCTCATTGCGTGCGGGACCTCAGGAGGTCTTTCAGCGATGGATGAAGGTCTTGCAGATCCCCATTGGCCCATTGACATTTCAACCGCAACAAGACAGAACACACATTCCAGGATGTAAAAAAGATGATGTTTCACCCTAGCTTTTGGGCAAACCAAGTCATTTTGGGGCTTCGTTTCCAACTTTCCATCTATTTAGGGGGATTTACACATACTGGGACCTTAGGATGTGTTTCATATGAACGGGGGATGGGATATTAGATATTTAGGGTGTGTGTATCCCATTATTTCCCCATTCAATCTCATATAATCATATAGAATCCCAAGTTTCCCAGCATTTTCCCAGCATTTTCTCATCATAATCCCATCACATTCCCATGCTTAGGCGCCACTTCGCTGCAGCCTGCTTCACCTTGCGGGCGCGTCGAGACACCGACGGCGCCAGAGTGGTGGTGTCTGCAGCTTTGGCGGCCGTGATGGTGGCTCGGTGTGAACATTTGCCCGGCTTTAAATATACCTGATTATGCTGATTATGTATGTGCTTAAAATCAGCATATACCAGCGTTTGAGTTGGCTAATCAATATGCTGATGCATGCTGATGCTGATTATGCTGATGTATATGATTGTGGATCTAAATGTCAGAGATGATCAGAGATGAGATTGTCCATTACAAAGGCCGCCAGGGTTCCAACATGAGACCCCGCGACAGCTTTTTCTGAGTTCGTGAAAGCAATTATTTTTGGGCGAAAGATTTAGCGAACGATTTTAACATGAGACCCAGTCCAAAGATAACCGTGGGGTCCGCAAAAGATTCGCGAAAGTAATTTTTTGATTTGGGAAGAATGGCCGTTTACAGATAAAGGAATATAGATCAACTGCCATATATGAGTTGGTTAATATCAGCATATATCAGCATTTGAATTGGCTAATCAATATGCTGATGCTGATTATGCTGGTTCCACTGGCCTTTGGTAACCATGTGGTGTTTTCTCAAACGGATACCGGTATCCCAATTTGGGGGGGGGGTGGTCATCAATCCATAAATAGAGATATACTTTCTATATACGTATTTATACATACAGATCTACATACACACGCACACAGACACAGACACAGACACAGACACAGACAGAGACAGAGACAGAGACAGAGATAGATATAGATAGATATAGATAGATATAGATAGATATAGCTAGATATAGATAGATATAGCTAGATATAGACATAGATAGATAGATATAGATAGAAATAAATAGAAATAGATAGAAATAGGTGGAAACAGATGGATATAGATAGATATAGATAGATATAGGTAGATATAGATAGATAGATAGATAGATAGATAGATAGATAGATAGATAGATAGATATAGGTAGATGTAGATAGATAGATAGATAGATAGATAGAAAGATAGACATAGATAGAAATAGATAGAAATAGATAGAAATAGATAGAAATAGATAGAAATAGATAGACATAGATAGAAATAGATAGACATAGATAGAGATAGATAGAGATAGAGATAGAGATAGACATAGAGATAGATAGATAGATAGATAGATAGATAGATAGATAGATAGAAATAGATAGAAATAGATAGAAATAGATAGATATAGATAGAAATAGATAGAAATAGATAGAAATAGATAGAAATAGATAGAAAAAGATAGAGATAGAGATAGAGATAGAAATAGAAATAGAGATAGAGATAGATATAGATAGATAGATAGATAGATAGATAGATAGATAGAAATAGATAGAAATAGATAGATATAGATAGATAGAGATAGATAGATAGATAGATAGATAGATAAATAGATAGATAGATAGATAGATAGATAGATAGAGATGGAGATAGAGATAGAGATAGAGATAGATAGATAGATAGATAGAGATAGAGATAGAGATAGAGATAGAGACAGAGATAGAGATAGAGATAGAGATAGAGATAGATAGATAGATAGATAGATAGATAGATAGATAGATAACGTGTGTGCATATATATATATATATATTTATACACATATATCCATTACAAGGACTTCCTACTAATCGTGGGATGACCATAAGCCACATACCATGTGTTGACCCCAAGCGCATAAAGCCCAAGGATGCCTTGCTTCGGCGGTGTTTGACCGACTCCTTGCACGGATCTTTGGCATCCAGGTGGAACACGGGACCATCTGAACGGGAAAATCACCATGGCACTTGGATGCGGATTGTGATGGCTTCATGATTGAATTCACCAGTGATTTCGCTTTTTTCCATCCTAAAAAATCAGAGAAATCCGTCTGTGGCAAACGCCGCAGGCACTATGCTGGCCTGGCACAAGGGCCCTGCCAAGCCTTCGGCCGGGAAGCTCAGCTCCAATTCCAGGGGAAGTTCCAGCCCCTCCCAAATGGAGGCTTCCTAAGTCATAGGGGTACCCCCAGTCATCATCCATTTTTGTTGGGATTTTCCTTTATTATAAACCATCAACTTTATGGGGTACCCTTTCAGGAAACCTCCAAATGATATCAAATGATTTCCCCCCAAAAATCAAGATGTTCCACCAAGATTGTTCACAGATTAATGTTTCCAATTTTTCCCCCTCTTAGAGGTGCAGTACAACCATAGTTAGAGGATTAGATCCCAATTGATGGGGGGTAACATCATTGGGACATACCCGGTATGAACTAACCCCAAGCCCACTGCCGAGGTGTTGAGCCAGGCTCTTTCCAAGCAGCCTCCGAGACCTTGTTGTTGGCAAGGGGCTCCAGTTCCATGGATTTTTTTTAATGAGAAAAACTGGGAGGCTCTGGAAATCCATGGGTTTTTAGTATAAATTTGTATAAAAATGCAGCCAGTGATTGAGGTTCTTGACTTTTTTTCTTCCGGCTTTTTTGAGCGCCCTGAGAGCTCCATGGATTTTGGGAACTCCCGAGCTCGGCCAAGGTGGCACCAGAGTACCAAGCTTTGCTGGCACTCAGATCCTGCGCATATGAACCTCGTATCTTGTGTCAATTGAGAATTACCATGAATTGCTCATGAATTACCCCAAGTTCGCATTTTGAAGGAGCTTTGCGTAGCTTTGCCATCAAGTTGCAATTGAAAGGGACGCGAGCCGCATGCAGTATGTATACCACCACGCGAGGATGTTCCAGGTCAAAACATAGATCCCATTGTATGTTCACTAAAGATCTTAGTTTCCCATTGGCTCAAGGGAAAAAAAACCGGAACCCGCTATAATTGGTGGTAAAGACAATGGTTTCCTGTAGATTTTCGCTGCATCATTCCATTGACAGTTGCATAATCTATGTTTTTCTTGCCTGTGAAGTGTCCAGGCGCACCTTGGTCTTGGACTACTTCCACAGTACCTTGGCGATGAGTCCAGTCACGGGTCGTTTTGGTGGGCCGAGTTTGTGCAAACAGGAAGGTTACAGACCAAACATCGCTGTTTTAATGCATGTTTTAATAGGGGTTGATGATGATGATGATGATGATGATGATGATGATGATGATGATGATGATCATGATCATGATCATGATCCATTGGACGGGCGTTGCATGGTTTGTTCCATTTTCGGACGCCCAGAAAGGAAGCCAAGCTCCAATGGCCGCCAGGTGTGAGCCGATGCGTGGCAGAAGATCACATGATTTTCTCCTTTGACAAAACAATGACTTGCAGCGCAGGCGAGATGACGGGCAGGGCTGAGGGGCACAGCACCCCATGATGCCGCAAGCATCGCGACCATTAGTTCCAGCTATGTTGAGCTTTTGATTCGTGAGAAGATACCATCAGATTGCATTACATACATCCTACTCTGGTAGCTCGTAGTTACAAATTAGATATGTTATGTGCTGATAGTCCAGTCTCCCAGTCCGTCCTTCCACCTTGGAATGGCGTTTTGATTTTTCATAGGACAACTTCCGCGGGAAAGATTCCGCCTTTCGTTCGCAGGCGATACTGCTTTGGTCGAACAGATCGGACTTTGTCTGGGTGCGGGGCCATGGAAGCGTGATGGTCCCAGAACAGCCTCTTTTTTTGTGTCTAAAAACCAGGGTATATCTTTAATTTGCCAAAATCAAAATTTCGAATTGGTGAAAATGGTGGACTCATCACATAAGTATATTACTTATACTTATATATGTATACCATATATATATAATACATCCATACATATATATATATATATATATATATTGATCAATTAGTTAATGAACTTAACTAACCAATTACAATCACAAATATATATATATATATATTGACCGCGAGGTTTGGATGCGGCCCGTCGTGAAGCGCCGCTGTTGCTGACCGGAGAACGCTCAGAGCTGCCGCTGGGCGAATGTGTCGTGGGATCCACCGAAATGGGTGGTTTATAATGGATTTTGTCCGAAAATCATATGGAAAACCAACCATGGATTTAGGGAAATAGCATTTTGGATTTATAATTTCCCCCAAAAAATGGTTTATAATATGGATGATTTGAGGGAAAACACAGCATTTTAGGAAAAGCCCATGAATAATATAGTATTTGTGAATATTTTTTGTGTCAATACATGGAATATGTTGTCAATATTTGAATGAATATTATAACCAAACCATCCAGCTACAAATTGGTTTGTGGGCGGATGGACTTGGGGTTTGCTGGATGAATTTCAGGTTCGAACTATTTCCAGAGCTGGCGTGGTTTCGCGACACGGTGTTCCTTTGGAAGATGTGGGGGTGCTCAAGTCCGAGTGCTCTTCGCCGCAAGTCCAGGGAGGTGATTTTTCACGACTGTGACTCACTGCGAAGTGAGAGGATCATTTGGGAATTTAGGAACTGTTGCCATGCTCGGGCTTCTCACCTCTGCATTTTCTCCAGCATTTCCTGCCCTCTCAAGCCATGAGCTGCTCCAGGCTGCTTCTTCCTGAATGTCAATGTCCAGTTGTACAGAAATGGCTCCTGGGCTTCAAAGCTCTCATGATTCAGCAAACTCGGAGGTCATCCCGGGGCAGATGTGAACTTTGGCTGTTTCAAGCTGGCTGTTTCAGGTCTGCCTCTGATTCCCTGCTGAAGTGGCACTACAGGTGGGGGATGCCGATGGCGTGGTCAGCTTCGGACAGTGCCCTGTGGCCCGCCCTGCGCAGGAAGGGCCGTTTCGAAGTGGTTGGCTTCGGGACCAACCTCACCCCAGAGGCAGGGGATCCATTGGGGATCCATTGGCATCCCAAAAATGCTTTTTACTTGTCGCTTATTACTTTCCCAACCAAAGCTACTGATGGTGATGATGATGATGATGATGATGATGATGATCATCATCATCATCATCATCAACCATTGATAACCATTAATAACCATTAATAGCCAATATTAACCATTGCCAACCACATCATCATCATCATCATCATCATCATCATCATCATCATCATCATCATCATCATCACCAATTACACCTCAGGCTGCTGCAGAAATGAGTCTGACGTATTGGCTTGCAACAGTTCCCACTGTCACTGTTGCTTGCGATATAGATGACATATGTCTATACACAGCCCATATAATTCATGTTTTCCCTCCACCACATACGTATAAATCCATATGTATTTTGGTAATTTTTGGTATCTATGTTTGTAACACACACACACGCATATACATATACATATATATTTTGGTCAGGACTTTAAGCAGTAGCAATTGTAGCTGCTATCCTAGGCATTGTTGCCGGCGCCACCGAAGGTCAATGGCAAACCCACCGGCTTTCTTCGGGGCGTGCTGCGCTGGCCGCTTGATTCGCTGACACGTTGGGCGTTAATATGGCAGGCAATTTCAAGATGACATTTCTTTCCTGGAAATTGATTATATAGTTCGTAAATAGCCATATAGTTACAGTTAGACCTTGGCACTGACGCACTTCACATATCTATACTCCCCCCCAACACTGTTGCCCCCATTTAAGAACCACATAACATCTCATACATTCTCATACATGATAAGCAACAAATCATAACAACATACCACATACACCATATTTCAGAACAACCTACCATATCAACAATACCATGATACATTACCGAAGTGCGCCAGTGCCACCTTATAGAAAATACATAACACAATCAACAAAAACGAAACAACATAAGACAATACCCAAAACAAAACAACAAGAACAAACAAACAAAGAACAATCCAAGCAACAAACAATATAAAAACAAAACAGTGGACAACAACACAATAATTCTATAAGCATAAGTTTTCGCATATCATCCGTTTTCCATCATGATAGTTTATTATAAAATCATCATAATTCATTATAAAATCATCATAATTCATCATAAAATATCAGAGTTCATCATAGCTCATCATAATTCATCATAGTTCATCATAATTCATCATAATTCATCATAATTCACCATAATTCATCATAATTCATCATAATTCATCATAGTCCATCATAAAATCATCATAGTTCATCATAACTTCATCATAGTTCATCAAAGTTCATCACAGCTCATCATAATTCATCATAATTCATCATCATAGTTCATCATAGTTCATCATAGTTCATCATAGTTCATCATAGTTCATCATAGTTCATCATAATTCATCATAATTCATCATAATTTATCATAATTTATCATAACTCATCATAAAACCATCATCATCATCATCATCATCATCATCATCATCATCATCATCATTTGAACTTTCATTGGTTTCTTGTTGTTCTTTTACGCTTAAAAATAGCCAGCTGTCTATTGATTGAACACTAGTACGACTTGTTGTAGTGGTTAGATTTTTCCCGTTCGTTCGTCCATCCGCCCTTTGCTACATCTTCACCGTACCCTTCTCGGTCTTGCTGTCGGGATTCTCAGATGGGATGGTATGGAAGTGGGAAGCCAGCATGATGTGCAGAAGGTTGATGCAATTGGAATTGAACTAGTATTTATCGTAGCATGGTCTTTGTAGACCTTGATGCTCCGTAATTGGGCTCAATCAGTGTCACCTGCCAACTTGCGTTTTGCCAGAAGAAACTGAACATGGGACTCTGGTTACGGCTGGTGCTCTTGTTAATTAGTTGCGAACATGGCCATGTTGCTCGCGGTGCCATGATGACGAACGATGCCCAGTGCTTGTTGCAAGTTCTCCACCACAGGCCATGCCGTTTGAACCCGAGCGGTATGAATTATGTTCCGTGCTCCGAATGTTTGAAGCCTCATCCTCGGAGTCCCAAGCTTTTGTTGCATTGTGACATTTGTTGCGACCCTGGCATTGACCATGGCCGTGACAACGCCACACACAACCAGCAACTCTCGCAGAAGTGAGATTGCCAATGACGAAGGTCATTTGGGCTGGAATTGTTTAACATTCCACTTTGCCTTGCAATAACGCAAGCATGACAAAGACCGCAAATGCCCAAGAGAGGAAGACAAATAGAGTTCAAGCAGGTTTTGGGCAAGTGCTTGGCATTTGGAAGTCACACGAATTCCTGTGTTAAAAACACACTTGTGTATCAATCAACACTCCCACTCCACCGGCTCAAACTGCCCATCCCGAGGTTGAGAAGACAAGCTACAGAATGTCAAGCAGAAGGTTGAACCAGAGCATGGAGGGGCACGACATTTGGTCATGAATTCAACCAGAAACTAGAAGGAGTGAAACTACCAAACAATCTTCCAAACCCAACTTTTGGGAGGGTTTATCCCATCCCTTGTGGGATATATAAATACAACTTACCCACGTACCCCCACACACACACACAAGATATCATAAAATAATATTATCCTCGCACATTCACCCCCCCTTTCAAGATTTCAGGTCTTGAAACAGTCTGGCACTACCGTGGATGGGAATGGGGACTGGGTTATATATATATATATACATATATTTACATATATTTCTATATCTATATTTATCTTATCTTTGACGAAGGCAACGCCACAACAGCTGACCCAGTGGCAGGCACAGTATGTCCAGTGGCAAGGCGTGGCATCTACCTAAAACATACAACATTTACTGCTGTCATAATTTCTTCAACCAGTGGTTCAGGGACTTTATACAATTCATTTTGTTTAAAAAGAGTGTAGTTTTCCGGCCATGTATTTTTGCTATTGCTTGGCGCCCTTTGCGCTGTTTCTTTATGACGGTTTCCATCCATACTATCACAATCTTTTTTACAAAGAGGTCTGGGTGTCCAAGTGTCCAAGTTAGTTCAGAGCCTTGTTCTTTTTCTGTAATTAAAGCCATACTTACAATAGTCAATATCAAAGTATGGCAAGTCCTTCATAAACTCCTGCTCCTTCAAAAGCCCGCTCTGGGGATTTTCTATCAGCCATATTCGCGGGTTAAAGTAGTTGATTATCTATTTTTCGCACACCAACGGTTTTAGCCCTACTATATTCAATACAAGGGGGCGATGCCTGTATCATATCAAAGTATTTCACTGGATATTTTTTTATATTTCCATTGTAGTATGTCGCAATTGATATCAGCCCCTTTCAAATCTAATGACACAACATCCCAGCCCATATCTTTTGCGACAGTTCCCACACTGCCTGTCCCGCTAACATTTCATATAATTTATATATGAAATTATTGTTGAAAGATACGCATTTTATCACTCCATTAATTTATACAATTCACCATCCCTTTCAATCTTGTAAAGCTCAAGAGTTTGACTTTGAGGTTGCTTCACGCGACCTTCATTTAGCATTTTCAGATATTGAGATTGTTTCTCTTCAAAACTGCCTCTTGGGCGACCCACCTGTTTTTTCTCAAAGAATTTATCAATCCTTTCTTTTTCAGCATCAGCATGATTATTTTCAGCAGGTTTATTTTTCACTAATATGTCAAGTTTTTCTAATGCCTTGTTCATTAAGTCCATCAATACCTTCACATTCTTGTTATACTTAGTCATCTTGTTCAGCATCTGCCATTTCAGGTTGTTTATCATCTAAATCAGGCATTTCTATATATAATTATTTAGATATTTATTTATTTATCAGTTCAAAGTGTGTTAATATCACTTTAAATCGTTTTAATCCATATCATTTATTGCCATTTGTCCTAACTTTACTTCTGGGGGTAGTAGCCATTACATCCCGTATCATATTGTTAGTGCTTTCCTTAAATAATTTTTGTCCTCTGGTGTAATCTGGCGGTTAAAACTGAAACTGATGCTATGGTCTTCACTTTCTAAAACAATTTCACCATCATCATCTTTTTTGACATTCATTGTTTTATCATTCTTGCTGATTTTGAAACTACAGGGGGAACATTTACATTTGATGCCCTTGGGGTTGATTTCAATTTCATTTCTCATCTGTAGTTTGCCATTACACAAGGGACATTCAAAACAATGTTTTTAGATGTCAGTTTTTGTTCCTCATTCAGATTGACAACAGCGGGTTCACCATCTGATAGTTCAAAATCTTCAGGGATTGGCTTTCTTGGTATTTTGCTTTTACTGTTTTTCTTTGGTGGCATTTATATAATACTTAAGATTATTTATTATTACCTTCAGAAACTCCAGCATTACCCTGAATATCTGTTTAAGTTTATTATCTTTTACAATTGGAAATTTAGTATCATCAATGACACTATCTTCAATCACATCTATTGTATTGATATAACTATCAAAAACTTCACAACTGCTCATCCGATATAATTAGATGATAAAATTATTACTATCTAATTATATATGGATTTTTACGCGCAAACAAAAATCCAGTAAATGTCAAAAGAAAATGGATTGTGCTGATTGAAACATAGCATCAAACAGATTCTTGAGCAAAAAGGCTTCAACATCTTCTACTGCTTGTTGTTATGACAAAAAGAGACCGTGTCGGGATTGAAACGGAGCAAGAGCCCAAGGGTGGATTTTTTATTTTTTAATTAACATTCTTATGATGGGTAAATGGCAGTCTGTTCCAGATTTCACCTGACACCCTATTCAAAGGTAAAATAAGATATGCCATTTACAATAAATATTAGAAATTAATTTCTAAATAATTTATATGAAAAAACTTGATGTTCCCAAGATTGAACCTATCAATGTAAAACAGTATGAATTCAAACAAAGCCCATACCCACAGGCAGGCAAACTACCATTCAGAAGCATCATTGTATCGGCATCACAGGGCGGAAAGGGTATATTAATTCAGAACCTCATTCTAAAAATCTACAGGGGGTGCTTTGAACGTATTTGGGTCGTTAGTCCAACAGCACACATAGATGAGGCATACAAATCTGTAATACGATATATTGAAAAGGAGTTAAAATAGATAATAAAAAAGAGCAGTTTTTATTTGATGAGTATGACGGGGATGCTTTACAACAAATCATAGATACACAACATAAAGTAATTGAATACCAGAAGAAAAACAAAATGAACACATTATATAGTTGCCTGTTAGTAATTGACGATTTTGCCGAGGATAGAGTTTTATGAAATATTCAAAGGTGCTACACGGACTTTACACAAAATCAAGACACTTCGGATTGTCAGTAATCACAGCAACCCAGAAATATAACGCCCTTGCGCCGATAGTTAGACTAAACACATCTTCATTATATATCTTTAAACTGAAAAATATGAAAGAGATTGACACATTTATTTATAGAAGAACAGTCAGCACTGGTTGATAAGAAAACTTTGTATGAAATCTATAAGTTGGCAACAGAAGAACCTTATTCATTCCTTTTCGTTAAGCTTCGCTCCAGTGATGTTAATAACATATTTATGGTGAGACTGGAGAAAGAGATACATATTAATTAATAATATTATAAATTTAAAAGAGGCTGTAAGTACAGACATCTATTTTTGGCAAAGCATATATCATTTTTGTTTGCTTTTCTTTATTCAGTTTTTCAATTTTGCTGTTGATTTCTTTTAAGGCTTTTATTTGTAATTTATCTACTAATATCTAACTCTTCTTCATTAATTTTACTCAATTCTTGAATACAACTGTTCTCTACTGTAGATTGTTTATTTCCCATATATGCATTATATTATATTTTAATTATCTTTAGGTTTTTGATTTTGCTTTGGCTTTTGGTTTTGGTTTAACAAAATCTTTAATGAAAATTTCAACTTCAAATAAGCGTGTTTCTAAATGCTCAACTTTGTTTTTCAAGTCTTCATTTTCTTTGATTATTTCTCCGGCTGCTCCCCAAGTGATACTTCCCATTTTTACATAGCTTAAACTCTTGACACCATCAACATTGTATATTATATTTTCAATTTCTTTTGGTATGCATTCCTCCACATTTTCAGCAATAAAACCGATATGGTTTTTGCTCATACCCTTTTCTTTTTCAGCATTCATTTTGAAAGTCGTTGGTTTTATGTTTTTTTACGATGTTTGTAAAGTCATACTTTGCTTCTTGAATATCATATTTTACCTTTTCACTACTTGTATCTACAAGGTCTCCCTCTAATGTATAAGGTGCTGGAACAGAAACTTTTGATGGTGTAATAAAAAGTCTTATACTGCTATTAGCATAACATCTTATGTCACCGTTAGGGTCTTCATTGATTAACTTGAAATGATCAACACCTGCTGTATTTTCATCAACTATATAACTATTCTTACCGGTTCTTTATGAAAATATGCTCTTTTGTCTTGATTGACATATATGTCTTTTGAAAAATTAACATCTTCATTTGCTTTTCTGTATCTCATATATTCTACTAAACCATCATCTGTTGTACTACTACCTTGAAAGACCATATCAGCACCATAATTTCTATTGTAAAAATAATCTCCATAAATATATTGAGAAGACAACGCCCGACCAGTTGAAACATCAATAACATTTTTAGTGCCATCTAATGTAAAGAAATTAACACCACCCCTTTTAAATACTACATTAGTAGGTGTGGCACTATCAATTACATCAAACTTACCACTTTCAGCAAGTAATGATATACCTGTATTTACTTCTACATTACCATTTCTAAAATACATAACATCTATTGTGTTCCTTCTAAAACTGACATCAGCATTGCCGATACTATCATATGTGTTTGAATTAGCACCTTTTGTTAGTTCCACTGCTTGTAGCGTTCCTTCAAACTTCATATATTCAACATCACCTCTTTTAAAGCCTAAATCAACATCAGTAGCATTTTTTGTATTGATGACATCAGTTTGTAATTCAGTATGGCATACAACATCTACATTAAAATATGCCTGTGTGGTTGATAATTGAAATCTTAAATATTGAGGGAACGCACTTCCACCAACATAAACAGATTTAATCCACCATTACTATAATTAACACAATCATAAGCAGTATTGCCACTTCCTATATTATATACATGTGAAGTTCGCCAGTGCTGACCTCTAACTGTTACGCACTGACTCACATGAGAGAGGTGTACCATTCCTATTTTAGAATAGTAAAAACTGTGGTAACCAACGGTGGTCGTGGGGTATCATGGGAAGTCAGAACTAAACCATCCACAGCTCGCGACTGTTTCCAAGTAAAACAATGCAATTTTGAGGGTATTTAATAGGACCCATTTTGCAATCCTCGGATATCCTCGGATTGTTGGTTAACGGTTATATCTCATTTATATCCCCATTATTCTTCATTTATATCCCCATTAAACCTCCATTGTATCCCCATCAAATTCCAATGGCATGGCGAAAATGTGCCCAGTGCTTTTCAAGGTTCGGTCAATACGAGTCCGACAAGAAGAGCCTCAGCCGTGCCAGTCCATCGGTGCGCAGCTCATATTGAAGACTTCCCCATTCGGATGGCCCCAGATATGTGTACTGTAAATTTCAACGTAAAACCGTGGTGTCTGGAATTCGGAACTGAGCTATGAATCAATACTAGACGCATTAGATATATGATGATATATGATCCCAGTTCTTGGATTATCAGGGCTCTTGAGCACTTACTGGAATGATCCTCCAATCAGGGCCGACACCCGCTGGAAGGTACTGACCGGTGACCCCTCTCAGCAACTGGCTACAGAGGATTGATCTCTGAATCAGGGAGCTCGCCTTCAGCTTCCGTTGAACTCTCTGAGATGGCGATGGGGAGAGAGAGGTACCCCCAAATAGTTGTAATCTGCCACTAAATGGTACCACCCAATGAAGCAGCCCTTGGCCAACCTGGATTTTGTGCAGGATGATGTGCTCTTCTTGAAGCAGCTTCCTACTTTTAATGGGGCCTGGAGTCCAAGTCAAACATTAACACGTGAACGATGAACAGAAGAAACTCTGTGCCTGATAGGAAATCTTCATGGATAGTCAGTGTGTTTCTTACATTTTCTTGCTCCACTTTTTTTGTGGGGGGTGTGGTTAACCCTAGCCAAGCAATTCAGCACAGGTCCATGGCCCTAAGTACTGTAGATTCAAGACACATGACAAAGCTTGTCAAGTTTGAAGGCATTTCACTCAACTCACAAATGGGCCGCCTTAGCAGTGAAGTTTGGGCCCGACCCTCCCAACTTGAACCTGGGTAAGTTGACATATACTGATTAAGCACGCATTTGCTGGGAGGCCCAAGAGGCAAGCTTGAGCCCAACTCGACTTGAATTGGAACTCGCAGAACCTTCACAACTTTATAATTTCAATATCCATCAATATCCAACTATGCATCCTACAGTTCTTAAGTTCTTTCAAGGATTTTCCAATTTTTCCAGGAAGCTTTTCCAAGCACCAGCCCACTTTTAAACACAGCGTCATGGACGACTGGGATCCCTTTGCCGATCCTGCCGATGCGCCACCTCCGCCTGCGCGGCCTGCGCCTGTTGCGGTGCCCGTTGCGGTGGACGCCGTCCCAGTGGAGGAAGCCACCGGTGACATCCCAGACCTTCCCAGCTTAGCCGAGCTGGAACAGCAGCTGCAAAAGGCGCAGTTAGAAAGCTGCCCAGAGCTGGTACAAGCTGCGTTTGCTGGGGATGAGGCTAAGGTTCAGGCAGGGGCCAGGGGCGAAGATTTGCACTTGCCTTGTCAACTCGGATTTCCTTGGTTTTTGCTGATTCACATTCAGCGGGGTACAACTGCAAAAGCTGGGGTGACAAGAAGAGATACAACTCTTGGGTAAAGATAAAGAAAGTCAAATCAGTCAACACCACCAAATTGGGCGACCTACAGTTATCACTTTATACCATCAAAGTCTATTTGGATCTGCATGGTATGTTCTTGGGATGACGGCTAAGTTACCAGGCTTTCGAACCATACTTGTAGTGAATATTCCAACATGACTAAAGTCGGTTTCCTAATGGTTCACCTTTTCCACTTTTCCAGAGGAGCTGCTGAAGGGTGGTGCCGATCCCAACACAATCTGGCTCAGAGAGGAACGCCTCAAAGGGAGCTCCCTGGTTGCGTTTGGCCTAAGCCTATAAGCCTTGGATGCCAGGCTAGCAAAAGCACGTTGGACTCCTCAAAAGCATGTTCAACATGTTTTTTGTTTTTTAAAGTTGTATCAGTTCATCTTAAATAGATATTCAATAGATGACTCATAGATGACCGTATATTCAAGTGACTTTTGGCATTTAAGGCATGTCTTGGTGAGTCGGTTGGTGTGATCCTGGAGGGATGGTCCAGATCTGAATCACAGTAAACATCCCCATCATCCCCTGCCTAGATCCATTTGAATCCATCTAAATCCCAATTTTATGTGGATTTATGTGGAATTTCCCTACCAAAGGATGGAGATCGATGGAGTTTCAAACGGGGCTGTTTAAGAAGTTCGCTCCAGCAGGTGATGGATGTTGCCAATGTGCCATCAGCTGGGAGGAGCTTCAGTAACTGTCAGCATGTTGGAGCTCGATTTCGATTTTCTGCAGAACCATGAGGGACCACTGGTCATTGAAGAGGCAGCTAGCTTCTTTCCACCAATCTTCTCTTTCCATCCTTTGTTTTTGACTTATGGCTCATTCTGACGGGTGAGTCTGGATCAGACATTCCGCAGCTTGGGAAGGAGTACACTGCCCTGATTGCCGCGTGTATGGAGTTGAAGACAGAAATCTGCGAGTTGCTTCTCCTCCATGATCAGACTGACATGTGACTTGGCAATGCTACGAGATGCTTGTGACATCAGGTTTTCAAAGGGTTAGTGGATCCAAAATCTACATGTTTGGCACCCCTTGGTCAGAATTGTCATCAGTATGGCGACCCTGCATTTCCGCGGAAGATTCGGCGCGAACTGAATGCGAAGGATTGGAGGCAGAGCCTAGAGTTATATGACATGTGGTCAAAAGTATGCCTCGCGTCAAAAGTTGGATTGTACAGCTATATTGGGGGATGGCCATCAATCCATTGACGGGGAATTACATGCCCATTGTAAGAATTCCCAATAGGGGATGGGTGACCATTCTCTCTCTCTATATATATTTGTAATGTGCATATACACACACGCCATTTTTTGGCAATGGCTCACATATATCAACAGCTGGGGTTGCAAAGACGAGTGACGGTCAATTGACGTAAGGAACGTGGTATGCTGTGGCCTCCATGAATTTGGGCCTTACAAACACTTCACGGTGCTGGACTGTGCAGCGGGCGGAAGTTGGGTGGTTTCACCCGCCTGGATATTTAGCTGAACATGACAGGAGATTTATGACAGATTTATGATAGGCAAGTTGACTTTCGATTAGGCTACGATTGAATCGGCTCCGTAGAGCCAGTGATTCGACTGCAGGACATGGCAAAGCAAGTCCAAAGCCCTTTGATGGAGAAACTGCTGGCCAGGGGGGCCAAGCCTGCTGCACCTTGGCACAGCGAAGATCTATTAAGATGTGGGGCTTCAGGATGCTTTAGGTAAAGGTTACAGGTGTTGTCCGACCAGTCCCGGAGCCATGTATTGGTACAATTTGGTACATATTTTCTATCTCACAGCACCTTCCCAAAATGGAGATGCCCGAGACCCTAATGTTTTTGCGCTCTTATCTTCATTATATCACCAACATATCATACTGAGTCATACTGTAGAATGCTTGGTGAAATCTACAAAATTTCAAATGGTTTTTGGATGTTTTTGGTATCTTGGGGAACACGACTGCTGGGTTCCATTGAGGCCAAATGCCCCACGCCACCCTGGCCACGAGAGCCTCGAGGTGCCGATGACAGCGACGACGCGTTGTTGGCGGCGGCGGCGTTGCCGGCGCGGCCCAGCGCGAACGGGGCGGGGCCCTATGCGGAGCTCCTGGATGCCATGCAGCAGAACAGGTTTGGAAGCTATGGATCAATAGCTATCATTTTTGGGAGATGAAAATCCATGGAAAAAAGTCATTTTGATGTTCACCAGGGGTGGTTTTGACATGTTTTGATGCATCCCCATATGGGAAAACCAGCAATGCACTTCCAATTCTTGATGTGTTGATAGAAACTATTTCCGTTTTTTCTGCTAGAAGTGAGGATGGTTTATGATTGGGTTTGCCACATTTCATACGTTTCCAATTGTCCACAATTGAGATAAAAATCATTCATTACTGTTGGTTGTACACTCATTATTAAGTTAGTTGACCCTTAACCATGATTAACCATAGCTTTCATCATGACAGATGAACATGGACATGTGGTGAGTTTCTCACTCCATTTCGGAGGTGCAAAAGCCTGGAGCTCCGTCAGCGACTCTTTAAGCAGATGATGCTAGAGCACCTTGGACGATGGTAGGAATCTACGAGTCTCCGGTCACGTGAGTCACGTGGCTTGCTGGGAAATCCACCATTTAGAAACCGATGATTTTCCCATGCAAAGCTCCAGAAATGTGGGGGGAATTTCCCCATTGAAACGTTTGATGACCGGAGGGTAGGCCAATTGGTGGGAGGCATTATACATGGTTTATTTATGTTTATTTGTTCAACCCGAAATCCACCATAGAATTGGGGCCCTTAGGCAAATCCAAGTATACCATTTTCGTGAACGTTGGAGGGAACTAGACTTGATGATGGTGGTGGTGGTTATGGGGCTGATGGGGGAGGAGTGTGATAAGGGATGAGGCCTTCAACTACTTCATGTACCTATTGTTACCACACCTTATGGCCATCGACGCGTCAAACCTACCAAAATGTCATGGGTATCCGGATATTGTTGGTTATGTCCCACTGTATCACCATAAATTCCCATCAGGTACTATGAAATCAACATAAAATCTGCGTAAAACCACCATAAAATCATGGATTGTTCTCCTGCCCACCACCCAGGTGGCACCCTGACAAGCGCCCGGCCAGTGAGCGCTCGCTGGCCACTGCAGTGTGCCAATGGCTGCTGGGGCCAGCACGATGCTTCGTGGAAAGGTGACAAAAAGGTGACTTTCTGGGGGGTGCAGTTGGGGTCCATGCTTGTAACCCCAGCGGTTTGGGATGTAAGGCTTGTCAGTATAGCTTTAGCTATTCACCACTACTTTAGTGAAGGCCATTGCTAATCTTTGCCAGGAGGATTCGGAAATCAACCGAAAAAGAGATCAATCATGATCAATCAATTTCTCCCTTCAGGTTTTTCCAGATTCTTAGCGTTCGACAGCTGGCCCCTAAGGCGCTGGGAGCTGCCGATGTCGAGTTGCTGCTGAGCTACCTCACAGCGTCCGGGGACCTGGGAGCTGCACCCGCTGTTCGGAGCGTGGAGCGTATACCCACAGCTGCAGGCCTTATTTGAGGATCCCATTGCTGCTGGGATTCTTCACAGATCGTAGGGGGCCCTGGAAATTGGTGCTTGGCTACATGGGATGAGTATCGATTTATGAGCCATATCCCATGAAATTAGATAACCTAATAATATCATGAAGAATCATAACGAATCATCATTGATCATTACTATAATTGACTATAATCAATCATGATGAATCACAATGAATAAGTATAACGGCTCTAATTTCTAGAAGTTCCGTAGAAAAATGGGGACTCCCAGGTTTTTTTTCCCCCAAAAAAGCCGCGGTAATTCCAGGACACCGCGCCTCAGCGTTGCGAGAACCACAGCTACAGGTGCGGGCAAAGAGTCCACCGAATCTAGGAGGTGCCAAAGAATCTAGGGGGAATTCCCAACAGAATTAAATAACATGGGTATGGATCAATACCTATTAATACCAATTTTTAGTGGGATGAACATCCATTTACCAGCTATTTTGATGTTCACCAGGGGTACAAGGTTTTGACCCATCCCCACATTACCCTCTGGTAAACTAACATAGCTATGGAAAGATCCACCATTTTCAATGGGAAAATCCACTATAAATCACCAGGTTCAATGGTTATGTTAAATTACCAGAGGGTATATAAATAACCATGTTTTGTTTTTTTTTCCACCCACATAAGTTAAGTTGGGATATCACATGATATAAGCCCAAAGGCCCTAGTAATAGTATACTGAGTAATTACTTGGAAATGGGGAGTATAACCATGGTTACAACATGTAAACTGCCGTAAGTTGGGATATGGCCCCCCGATAACTATACTTATCCACTTATAACTGGTACTGGAACTGCACTTCCTAAAAAAACAATTTTTGAGGTATATAAATGATTCTAGTATTTCCCAGATGGTACAATCAACTGGGGATGGTTTATGACAGGTTTGCCACATGTCAAGCCAGGAGTTTCCGAACCCCCTGGCCTGTTCATCATTGGTGGAGTACCATTTTAGTAGCAGAGGATCATTATTTGGGGGTAACCTCAAATTCACCAACCAGGACCGGGGTTGATTAATCTGCAGTTGACGTTAACGTGATAAACCCAATGTCATGACCATATAACCACGGTTAGTTGGTAAAAGTTAACACTATCCCCAACTGGCGCCTTTTTATTGCGTTTGCCGCATTACAAACCAGCGCCCCTTATCACCTCTGAGTTTTCAGCCGTGGTGATGTGTGATTTGGATCTTGTCATGTTGTGCCATGCTACGGATGACAGGGTTGAGCAGTCTATGATGAAACGATGGGTGGGTGCTTTGTATTTGCCGGTAGTTACTTGGCATGCGGCATGCGCTTATTGTGAAAAGCATGGGTTTTTTAAACTCTGTGCAACGCTGGGAACGGGTCCTAACTTTTTTTTTTGAAACTTTGATGCCGAAGCCTCCATTTTCGTCAACAGATGCCCCAGGTTGTCTTGGATGCTGCGCTGTTTGAGTTGGCACCCAGTGTAGTTGGGGGCACCTTGAAGGTCCCTTTTTTATCGGGAAGCAAAAGCCATGGCGTTGAGTCACACACACAAGTCTATATAATCTCCATGTATAGATAGATAGATAGATAGATATATATATATACATATGTAATATATATATATATAATTATGTATATATATATACACACATATATATATATATAACTATGTATATATATATGTATGCATGTATGTTTGTATGTTACATACATGTGCATACCATCATGAGGATCATGAGATTCCCTTCTATTGTAAGGAAATCCTCATACTGCTGAGTTTCATTGCCCATTTTGAAACGAAACTCCATTGACATGCATAGATTATACATTGGTTATATCCCCATTATGTCCCCAGTTTTGGATGGTTTCAAATCAGCATTTTATCCATCGTTGTTAGTTTTAGATACCCATTATATCGCCAGGATTGAATACCTCTTATAGTTCTTATCTGTTCTTCTTCTTATATCCCAATAAAAGCACACCTTCTCGAATAGCGATACATAACTTTTCTACCTTTTCTCAAGGGTCACTACCATTGTTATGGTTCGGAAGAAAAAGATCGGAAAGCGTTTCGATGTTGTTAGAAGATGTTTCCCGCAGGACTTTCAAGTTTCCAACTCTATCTATTTTGAGGTTGCTATACTCTAAAGTTTATAAAGATGCTTGGCTTCATCCTATCCCCAGGCAACTCCACTAAGGCCGGGCCAATGGCAGTCGCCCACGGACTTGCTGAAGTCGCCACCTGACACAGTGCCGGCAGCGGACCGCAGGCGCAGCTGGGGATGATCCAAGCGCCGTGGGCCCTGGCTGCCCTTTTGAGCTTTGGTCTGAAAATGGCACGAAAAACCATCCTAAAGTATCATAAAGTATCCTAACGTCCTAAATCCACCTGGTTAATCATGATTTTCCCCGTTTGGACTTGCGATCTGAGGGGGCAGACCTTATTCCCAGACAAATCCATCGTTCTTGAGGGTTTGGATTTTGCTGGATCGCATTTTGGATACAAATTGGAGGTACTTTCAGTTGTGAGAATGTTCTGGGATGTGTTGTGTTGTAGATCTTTGATGCCTTCATACTGTACCTGCTTGGTGCTTTCCAAATGACCAGCAATCGGTGACAGTAGGCACCTGGCCACTGCTGCGGGGCTCTTATTCAATGAGCTGATGAGGTCGCTGGGAGCTGCTGTATTTTTGTTGATGTAGTATATGTACGCAGACAGGCAGGTAATTGGATCCACAGGTAGATAGGAGAAGGATAGGAGAATAGGATAGGACAGATAAGAGAAGAGAAAAGATAAGAGAGACGATAAGATGATCTAGATTTATTCAACAATGCCCCAGGCTGCAAGCACTTTTCAGAAAATTTCGCCACTGTTCAGAACTTCCATCTCTCCAGACCTACAAACAGGTCACCTCAAGCAGTTGTGCATGCAGTGTTGTGCTTGCTGGGGGCCAAAGGATGCCTCAGGCGATGGATTTGATATTGACTGAGAATTTGCTAGAAACTGGTGTCGAACTATCTCTCCTGTCAATACATATCAATACATCCATTGTTCGGATCTCCCATAAAACACCCATCGGGTTAAACCATCAAACCCTGGGTACCGAGGCTCCAGGTGGCGATCGAGAAGGATGTGGGTCGCCCCGAGTCGGCCAACGATGGTGCGGGAGCCCAATTTGATGACGGTTCGATCATTTTGGATGTCTTTGTTGGGGCCATGTTCTGAGGATTTCACGGGGCCTGAGATGGGCCATGATGGGCCTTGAATCCCATGACCAGCTACTGAGGCCTGATCCTCTACGTCATCCGCCTGGCGACGCGCATCGAGTCTTACTTGGCTTTCCTGGTGTCTCATGGCTGGGATCCATGGACGGATTTGACAGGTGGACAGATCCACAGAAAAACCCTGTGATAGACGTGGGCAATGGATGGCAATGGGAAATTCATGGAAATTCCCTATAAACAAAAATCATAGGAACATGGGAAAAATATGGAAAATTCCCTATAAGTGGAGCTTTTAATGGGAACATCATCATCTATAAATGGTGGATTCTTGGCTGTATTCAGGCCGCCGGGGAGCGTATTTGGAGCGTTCTGGGGCGAGCTACGATGCCTTTGTGCCAGGGAGCCCGAGTTGTGATGGTGCCCCATACTTAGCGGAGTTGGTTTATAAATAGGTTAACTATGGTTTATGGTTAAAAAAAATGTAGTTCATGGTGTTATAAACCAATGCACAGCTGGGGGGGTACCACCTTGTACGGTGGCCGTGGCCGACTATGGCTGACAGGGAACAAGGGGCATCTGCGCACTCGCGTAATGAATTAGCAAAACGCAGCCCAGGGAACACGATGGTCGGTACAGTTACGCAACAGGCACTATATCTCTACCAGGCAGTTACTTCTGCCCTCTAATGGAAGCCACTTAGACCCAAAGTGCCAAACGGTCACTTACAAGATCAATCATGCATAAGTGACCTCGTTTCATGAATCCTTAAGTGACCTCTTTGCCTGGCTGATCTCATGATTTCTGCGTGTCACTGCGTGTCACTTGCGTGTCACTGGGGTTTCGAGGTGGGATGAAACGAGGTCACTTAGGACCCTGAAAAGGTCACTTAAGCCTTGAAAAGGTCACTTAAGGATTGGCTGTCTGCGTGTCACCTGCGTGTCACTTGCGTGTCACTGGTAGGCCACTGTTTGGTTCGTTTCCTCAAGTGACTTCATTCTACGTTTTCCTTAACTGACCACTTTCTAAAGGCCACTTAGCGGAAAACACAAACAAGGTCACAAGGAATCGTCTGGTATATATATATATAATATAATATAATATATAGACTGTGAGGAGTCGGATTCCAGAAACCTACCTTGGCATTTTAGCCCTATGGGAACATTGTCATTGTCAGCACTTCCTGTAGTTATCCATCAGTATTTACAGTGATCCGGTCGTGTGGCTCATTGTGGCTTGAGGGTCGCTGGCCTACCTAGGAGAAGCTTGGCAGGGCCGCAGGTACGCACTGGGTTTACATGGGGTCATATGTGTCCGAAATGTGTGCGAAGCACACGAAAACGAGGACTCAATGTTTGACGACATTTTGCACAGTGCATCATGCCAAGCGGCTGAGATCTGCTTCTTGCGCGCCCTAGTGGTGGATGTTTTCAAGACTGTTCAAACAGTTTTCAAGTTTTAATTCAGTGTTGAATTGTGTTTTTTTCCCCCCTTTAACTTTAAATTCTCTTAATATCTATTTGGGGTCCCTTCTTGGAAGGTCTTTATTAGGGCGAAGGGATTGGCGATGGATTTGTGCCTTGAAAAATGGTCGCCACACCGGCCACCTGTCAAGGACGACCCCTTGCTGATGGAGTTGCAGGCTTCGGTCTCCGCTGGTTTTTTTTGGCCCCGGAAAGTGCTGGAAATTCATGACCCCAACTGATGCATCTGAGATGGGTAAGATTTTTTGGCGTAAACCTTCTGGGTCTGGGGAGACTTGACCCTAGACTTGCCCCATCTTGCACCTGCCAATCTGTGACACATGTCGACACCCTGGTCCTCCAATTCACAGCCTCCAAAAAACTGGAGGGCTCTACGAACTACCCTCTGGTAAACTAACATAGCTATTGAAAACGACCCATTTATAGTGAGTTTTCCCATTAGAAATGGTTATTTTCCATAGTTATGTTAGTTTACCAGAGGGTATTGACAGCATATAGAAAGGTTTAGGGATCAGAGCGCTGGCCTTCATGGATGGGACCAGTGTTGATCAGCGAAAAACCGCCGGAACAGAGCCACCTGCGAAGTCTGCGGAGGCAGCTCACCGAGAGATAAGGACGCAGCTTCAGGGAGATGTCTCAGACCCAGCTGAGCAGGTTGAAGGGAGGCAGATGGATAAGAGGCGAGCTTGCAGCAAACTGATGTCAACATCATGATGATACATCATGTAATATGATGTAATGATGTAATATGCTGTAGTATGCTGTAATATGATGTAACAAATCATGATGTATTCATCATGCGGGATGCAGAGGTCGCAAGCTGACACTGGTTGCGACATTGGCCGCCAACAAAGGTACTGAGGATGCTCAAGGATTGGTTGCGATACACATCAAAGAGGTGCTTGCCTCCGGTGGGGATGGGCGTCGACTGGGTCCACCAGCCATGGCATGCACCTGTGCGAAATGCACAGAACCCCCTTTTTTATCATCCGATTTCAAAAGGGACCAAGACATGGGGTATCACAATGTTTTGCATTTCATTGGATCCAAAAGTATCTATATCCATATAATAGTATATATATATATATATAATCCATGTATAATCCATATATAATCCACATTATATATATATACACACGTATATACGTATCTATATCTATATCTACATCATTCTATACTTCTATTAGCATACCTCCAGGTTACCTCCACCAAGGCCACCGGGGAAGTTCCTGGCCGCCGCGTGCCGCATCCATGCGCACGTGGCCCTGATCTTTAAAAACGTGGTGGGCACCCAGCATTTCATGGGCACATGGGGTGAGGAAAGGCGGAGAACATGGGGAGAACATGGGGAGAAATTGGATTTAACATGATTTAACCATCAAAGTAGTGGAAATTATAGGGATTTCATGGGGGTTCTAAAGCCAACATATTGAAATGTGGCATGGTCAAAACTTGGATTATGCAGTCCCAGTTTGGGGGATGGTCATCAATCCATGAATAGGGATGTGTTTATCCATTGGTATTCGCCATTATGAGATGGCCATATCCCCTATAGCCCATAGCATGTTTTGACCATGGCACTTCTGATTTGGATGCAAACATTGGCGATGAGCGGGATAGGCCGCTTGTCCATCCATCCATGAATCAATCTATGAATGGGGATATTAATGGAGTTTCGCCAATGGAACACACACACACACACACATATATATATATAGTAAGTCTATGTAAGTCTGGATGAATTTGATCATGACCTCACGTCCTCACGTCGTCACTGGAACGATGGGAATTGAATTCGCGGAATCATGCCCACATGGCCGTATGATACGGTAACAGCTATTCTCAGGTTAGTGAAGTAGCATAATAATTCAGCCAGAATCTATTTGTTGGACCCTGCATCTACCCATCTACCCATCTATCTAGCTGTCTGTCACTGTCAGTCCATCTGTCTATATGATTCTATATGTAACAGCCTCTCTAGCTGTTACCCTCTGGTAAATAAACATAGACCCTGAAAATCACCCATTTTTAATGGAAACTAATCTTCCAACCCCTATCTGGCAGGGTCTATGTTAATTTACTGGAGGGTATTTCTTTATCTGCCAACCAGCTGGGTCCTTCCAGCTATTAAGGTGCCTGAGTTGGACACTGCTGCAGTGTCTGGCTTCCTTTCTGCTCAGGCGGCAACGGGTGAATTTCCAGCCGTGCGACTGACAGGTGTCACAACGCTTCCATCCCTTTGGGTCCCATCTTTAGCCATTAGACCAAAAAATGCCTTAAGATCGATATACGGTATAAATATCCATTGGTATGCTAAAAATAAATCTTTACCCTCTGGTAAACTAACATAACTATGGAAAATCACCATTTTTAATGGGAAAATCCACTATAAATGGTCATTTTCAATAGCTATGTTAAATTACCAGAGGGTATATAGTTTGTCAAACATCCCAGTCATCCCATCAATACATACATCATAGATCTAAACATCCAAATATCCCATGGACTTTCTAAGACAGCCTCTTTCCACCTGCTGGAGGCGTTTTTGAACATCAACCACCGGCTGGAGGTGTGCCGACAACGCAGCCCAATTGTGGAGAGGGATCCAGATCTTGTGGTGTCATGAAAGAAGTCTTGTGAAAAACATTTTTACACACACACACATATATATATATATATACACATGTATTATATGTATATTGTATTATATTATATCATATTATATCCTATTATATCATATTATATTATATAATATCAATATATGATATTATATTATGTAATTACATTATATTATATGTATATTATATGTATATTATATGTATATTATATGTATATTATATGTATATTATATGTATATTATATGTATATTATATGTATATTATATGTATATTATATGTATATTATATGTATATTATATGTATATTATATGTATTGTATTTGTATATTATATGTATATTATATGTTTATTATATGTATATTATATGTATATTATATGTATATTATTCGTATGTTATATGTATATTATATGTATATTATATGTATATTATATGTATATTATATGTATATTATATGTATGTTATATGTATGTTATATGTATATTATATGTATATTATATGTTTATTATATGTATATTATATCATATTATATCGTATCATATCATATTATATTACATTATATTATATAATTATATTATACTATATTATGTTATATTATATTATATTACGTTATTTTATGTTGTGTTGTGTTATATTATTCTATGTATATTGTATATATATATATACATATATATATATGTATATGTAGCTGCCACAATAGATGCAAATCTGAGATTTCTACCTTCACAATATGTAGATCTTTAAGTGAGCCACCTAGCCTTCGGTTGAAGTCTCCGAGATGTTGCCAGGACACAAGCGCATCATCAGGCAGGATGCCCTGAAATGTCCTGACATGTCCTGAATTTGCCGTGGTTTTTGCTGTGCAAAACCAAGTGGTCCCATATCCGACCAAGTGGTTTGCATCTGAGTAAGCACATGTAAGCACTGAAGAATGATGGGGATAGCACTGAAAACCAATCACAGCATGATTTTTTTGGGATGAACATTGGTATAAGCACGAAGTAAATTTTGATGAGAAAAAGGGTAAAAGGATTGGGTTTTGATCCATACCCAACTAGATCCCCAAAGGCTTGTCAAAATCAGAATAATCTATGGTCCATGATCCTGTATAGTCACGGTATAAACGAATCATAATTATATAAACGTAACATTTAAAATTTACATAAATTGTATGAATATATATATATAACCACCATAATTAACCGCCCCCTTCACGATACTGTGGCTTCGTTTTTGTTTAATGGTAGTGGTTGATATAGTGACTGGCTGCGCTGCTAGGAGAGGCTGGGTGCTTGGGAGTTGGAGAGGTGGGGCACTCGACTGGATCGACTGCGTTTGGGGTTGACATCCTGTGGTTTTTGTCTCCCCATTGCCCATTGAATCATATTGTGAAGGGTTGGTAATCCATAGTAATCCCAGACTTGGTGATATTGTTGGGAATTATTCTTCCTGGTTTCCTGCAAGAAAAACCATATCCTCGGGTAATTATCATCAACGCTCGCGCTTGGAAATTCCAGATAAATATATGGCGTTTAAGGAGAAAAACATCGAATTCAACGGGGGATTTTCCGGCAAGCCACGTTTTGACGACCACAGGGTATATCAATCCATGGCCGCAAAAAGTTTCTACTAGTTTCCAACTGATGCGTCTGGTGGCACATTTCCTCTCAAATCTGCATTAATGCGCCTGCATGTTCAAGCCCTCTTCACCAGCTTTCAAAGAGATGAGGATCACCTCAGGTGAATCCCAGCGCATGTTAATCCCCATTCCTATCGACCCAATTCATCCAAGAAACGGGTTCCAGGTGGAACTCTTTGATGCCTTTGAATCGCGACGGAGCCGTTGGGTGCCAAGATCTTGGAACTGTGGGTGATTTCTATCTGGCTTTCTATCTGGTTGGTGATTATATACTGTGTATATATATATATATGTGATATTATCGAGATTATATATATATATATATATAGATGCTCATTTTAATCTCAATTTGGGATGTCATGATTCGGACTGAGAATAGAATTCATGGATTTTTCAGGGCCAAGCTTTGCAGCTCAGGGATCACATTGTGGCTTCGTGTCCGGGAGCTCAGGGGGCTCAGGGCTCGGTCCATGGGAACCGCTGGCGCCAAGGGAAAACATGCAAACTGATGGGAAAGTCACAGGAAAATATGGGAAATCCATGGAAATCCCCGAAGTGGTGGTTTAGAGCTGGGAAAATCATCGAACTAAATGGCGGCATTTTCCAGCCAGCCATTTTTCTGGGATCTCTGGCGCTATGCCAGGAAGACGCTGCGCGGGCAAGCTTGGTCCTGCGGATGGTGGAACAGGCATGGCGGCGCCGGGGAAGATGGTTTGAGGCGCCTTGGCCAGTGACAAACTGCAGCGCCTGGAGGCAGTGACAAATCGCGGCAGGGCAAGTTCGGAGGTGCCGAGAGTCCGATGATGAGAAAAGGGCCCTGAAATTCGTTCTTGGATGTTTGTAGAATTTCGAAATTCGTTGGAGGAGTGAGGAAAGAGTTCTCATCATTCCAGGTACTGGGGGTCGCACAGACAAGGGGCTTGTTGCACATGGGTTTGTCTGAAAGCAAGATGTTTCTAAATTATCATGAATCCAACCGTTTATCATGATATATCATGATTGTCATGGTTTATCATAATTTTCCCTGTTAAATGTGTCATGAAATCGGGGTATACCGAAAAAAAACGATTCTCAGACACACCTGAGATCCGATGAAGGCGTCTGCCGAAGAATGGGCTGTCCGGCTCTTGAATTTCGGTGAGATGCCACGTTCTGATGCACGTGTCGACGTCCTAAGGAATTGAGACCTGGTGACTTTGTGCCCAAGAAGCATTTGTTCGGGATGCCCAGCGAAAGCCTACCGGGTCGCATTTTTAGGGCTATAACTGAATAGCGTAAGTGGTAGGAGTCTTTTGCGGCTCAAGATGCTCAAGTAGTTCGATTGTACTGTCAGACTATTTCTGAATGTATTAGTGGTTCGACATGGAAGCCACATATGGACGCATATCATGTTTCATCATTTAAAATATACAGAAACCGCATACAGCCACTATCACTAGCAATCACTGGAATGTTCAGGAATTCCCACAGATGTCAATCAATATCAATCAATGCATAAGCGTGTATAAGCCGTACGGCATATACCAATAGCTTGTTCGAAATGGTCGAAACAAATCAATGGCCATTTCAGGAACCCCTAAATTGAAGCTACCTGCCATATATAAGGATATATAAGGCCTATGCGAGGGCTATGTGAGGGATCCTGATGAAATATGGCCTTATATGGCCTTATATGGTACAGTATCTCCAATTTAGGATCCTGGAATTCCTATTTTTCAGCAAAGCTTGGCTGTTGAGACGATGGGCAAACATCCCGCAACCCGGAGGCCATCGGAGAGCTGGTTCAGCTCGCAGTCTGGGGAGGCAGAGTGAGAAGAGACGTAGCATGACGTAGCTGGGAACTTGAGACATCGCTAAGATTATATTATATATATAATATATATATATATACATGAATCATCATGAATCCATGTGCCTGTCAGACAATCAAGAGCAACACACACACACACATTTTTTTGGTGTGTGTATACTATATGTATATATATATATATACATATGTAAAACCAAAAAACGTGCCAAGAATCTTGTGCTGGCTTTCACAGTTTCCATATGAAATTCTCTCGAGTTGTGGAAGCCAGGCTTTCCACGAGTGGATGCTGAGAACAACACAGGGGGGTGCAGCAGGGCGACAGGCGGAGCTGTCGGCAGAAGGGATGGGTGGCTTGGAGTTCTCCCTGGGAATCATTTGATGTTTGTTTAAGTGTAGCATAGATGCACAACTTGCAACCACATGACCACGTGCTATATATATATATAATACATGATATATATATATATAATATGTATATTCTATATAGGACATGCTTTTGCATTCTACTTTGGTAGCACCCCAGTTCACTTTCACGCTTGCCGGCAGAAATGTGGTTTTAAATGCCACACTTCCCTCATTCTTGAAGCTGTTTAGCATCGGACATTACTGATGCAAGGGTTTGTCACATTCGTGCTCATGTGTAAAGCATTCTTTAACTTGAGCTGCGCTTGTATCATGTTGCTACAGCAGATAGAAGTCTTCCACTGTCATGGTAGGGTGTGAGCAACACCGAAAGAATGTTCCGTGCCCTGCCCGCGACATTTTCCAAGCGGTGCCTGCAGGTCTCTATCAACTTGGGTCAGCTGGGAACTCAACGGTTGCTTTGATCAGTCTGCCATTTGGAGCCTCTGGGACCACATCTTTGACATCGTTTAAGGTATTCCAGGATATATCAATGGTGAATATCACACCCTTGATGGGATAGGCTTGGTAATTTCATGGGATAGGGAAGATATATCAATGTATTCAATGGTGAATATCATTTACAAAGGCCATCAAATTATATATCATTTCTTTTAGTGTTTTTCTTGGTGTCAGGAGTTGTGCATTCCCAAATCGGGGGGAAAACGTGAACGTCTACAGATATCAGCACAAGGTAGACACAGTTAGACACTTATGTTCCCGCCTGGGGGTCTTTGGCACGTCCTTCACCTTGTCCCAGGTATGGAACGAAACGCGATGGATTGGAGCTCTTACCCAGCTGGGCCACGGATCTCAGTCCGATGCGGACGGACAAATAGAGTAGAGCGGGGATGGAAAAATAGCGTAGAGCCCAAACATAACGGGATGCCTAGAATGGCCATTTTATTATGGAAACACATGGAAACACCATGAAACACCGACATACATGTGGTTTTCAATAGGAACATCATCTATACATGGGGTATGCCATCCCCCGGTTCGGTTTTAGGAGCCCCATTGTAGGGGGGGATTGGCGAATACCATCCCCAATCGGGGTGGGTTTGCCACATTACTTGTAGTGAATGTGGGAAAATCCATGCTTATCCAAGAAGATTTTGGGATATCCCATTTGCAGACAACTTCAAATCATGGAAAATCATTGTCCGAAGCACCACTGAGATTTCTGGGCTGCATGATTTTTGGGCAACACCTGCCCTCTGAAAGATTTTGGGAGGCCTACCCTTCATGGGGATAAGACAATGCATGCAGCACTGGGTGAAGGCTCTTGCGCACATTTGCAAGTGAAGCACTGCACTTGGGTCACTTACCTTATATATTTCATCATTGGAATCGCAGATTCCGCGGTGGACCCTCCAATGCAGTCCAAAGTGCACAAGCTCCAGCAACTCCCCTTGTTGGTTCCTAATCATGTAACTTCCACAGGAAGTCTCCAGACATGGGCCAGTTGCTTACATTGCCCTGTGAATACTACAGGTTCTTATGGATGAATCTGGGCCGCTTCTGACTTGACCTGGCCATGCTGCCGGTCGTTTTTGCCGTTGCATGCATCCTGGCAGTGCACGGCGAGTTGTCGCCTTTGGAGCGGGCTGTGCGTTCGGGCGATGCCAAGAGTGTGCAGAAACTGCTGGCAACGGCCGCTGGAGACCTAGGCTACTCCTATGATGCAGAGGACACGGGTCGCATGGGCCATGGCAAGTTGGTTTGACTATGCCAATTTGGATTTATGGTGGATACATCATCTATAGTTTGTTGGGGTTGGAAACCGATGGGGGGTCCTTCCTATAAGGGGGCCCTGACACATGTAGACGGCTCGCAGCCATGGGTATGCCTTGATGATTGTCTCATTTTTCCATATTTTTCCCTGGCTCAGGATGGCTTCGGCCGCAGCCCCCTGCATGAAGCCGTGGAGTTCGGCCACAAAAAAGTGGTTGAAGAGATTTTGGCCTGGCAAGGTTCAAACCAACTGGTGTCGGCCCCAGATGAACTCGGTTGGACAGCACTTCACTGGGCAGCCCTGAAAGGTTCCGAGGACATTGCTCGGCGACTGCTGGATGCCAAGGCTAAGGTAGATGCTAAGGAGAACGAATTTGGCTGTGAACCCTTGCAGTGGGCTGCGCGCAGGGGACATCTGCAGCTGATTCGCTTGCTTCTGAAACATGGGGCGGTGGCATCCCACCAGGACCGAGAGAATCGCACAGCTGCGAAATGGGCTCATCTTACCAATCATCTCAGTGCCTTTGCATTGTTGGAGGGTATGGAGCTGCGGTCCGAGGGGTCCGAGGATGAAGAAGCACTGGATGAGACCTACAACATGAGTCGTTTGCACGCGGCCGTGGCCAAGAACAACATCAGCGAAATGAAGCGACTCTTGCGGAGTAGCGAGGCCAAAGATCTGCTGGTCAAAGTGGATAAGTGGGGCAGAACTCCATTGGTTACGGCTCTCCAAGCCAGTCACAAGGCAACAGGCCCAGGCTCCGAAAAGTTAGTGATGCACTTCATTCGGCTCATGAAGATGTTGCGCTTGGAAGGCACGAAAGGTGTCTTTCGGCCTGACAAGGACCGGAGAGATCCGGTGCACTGGGCGGCGCTGGCGGGACATCGACAGGTCGTGCTCGAACTGTCACATATGATTCCGTCTGATACACCCGCATCAGATCGCTGGGGCAACCGGTTGTTTCACCACGCTGCTGCCAATGGACACACCTCGATGATGGAGTGGCTACTGGATCAACGTGCCATTGTGGATGGGATCTCAAGTTCCAAGCAAACTCCGCTGCACATGGCAGCTGCAGGGGGGCATTTGGACGTGACAAAGTTATTGCTAAGACGTGGATCGCCATTGAATGCTCAAGATCGTTTCTTGTCATTGATATCCATGTGGGACCCTTCCAGCTATTTGGATGTTCACCTGGGTGCCAAAGTTTTGACCAGCCATGTGGCCATGCGCTCCAGTCCCATCGGTTTTGCCTCATCAGAGCCAATCAGCAACTGCCACTTATTAATCCATAGCTGCCATAAACTATCATGAGGGTCATGAGTCATGAGGTGTCAACTAGTAGATTCTTTGCCAGTACCCTCTGGTAATTTAACATAGCTATTGAAAATGGCCCATAGAAATAGTGGATTTTCCCATTAAAAATGGTGATTTTCCATCGCTATGTTAGTTTACCAGAGGGTAAGATGTAGGAGCATGGTTTGATTTTTCCCCAACATCATCCAACATCGGTAGACACCGCCAACGCACATGGTCTGGAACTGTGTCCACCGAAGAAAAGCGGATTCCTTGGGACCAAAGTGACCAAAGCCCACCGACATATAGATCCAGTGCAGGACTTGGAATTTTGAAAACCCAACCGCTTTCCAGGAAGCCGATGGGTTTTCGACTGAATACCGCGGGTCGCGTTGCGATGTTTCTCTTCTCGGCATTCCTATCCCATCCGGTCCAGGCACCCCGGGTTTTCCATGGTTTTCCCTTTTGGAGCACCTCCCGGGCCAAGGATTACTTCGGACGCCGCTGCACTACGCAATCTTGCAAGGCAATTCGGAGATTGCTGAGGTCTTGATGAAGGCTGGTGCAGATGCCTCTGAAGCTGATATTGATGGCATGAGCCCATTGTCCTTTGCTGAGACAGCCCTGGGGCTCCTGAAAAGTGATGAGATGGAGTGAGGCGTCGCTTGATGGCGTTGATGCATCTCCAGTCAAGTTCAGTTGCTTTTTGATGCTTTTTGGCTCATAGGTACATAGCAATGTCAGGATAGCCCGCATATGATCATATGAGAGCACAGATTAAGCTTCTTTGTGGCCCTACCTGGTATGCATCCATCAGCGAAAAAACGCCTTGAGTGTTGGCTTGGGAATGCTTGGCAAATGGTCAGGGTCCTCCAGGGTTTTCACACATAATGTGGGGACATATTCCACATCAGCTCCTCCATTGCCCCAAGAAAGTATGGACATATTTGCTCTGAAGCAGACGCGGCTAGAAATGTGCAGTGGCCAAAACAAACGTGCAGTGGTCTAGGGAAGTGCGGTGGCTTGTACCACTCAGGCGTTTAAACTTTAAACAAATCATACGACGAGCGTTTAAAACAACAACTAAAATGACACTCAAATCATCTAAAAGCCTAGGAAAACCCAAACATGACCCCAATCAAACACCCCCCTGCCGCTTGAAGATGGTATACTCCAGGCAGTTTGCAGTCCCGACTACTTGGAGGTTGGAAGTGGAGATGCCTGCGCTGTAATAGGTGTATTGTAATAGAAGATATATATATATAAATATATTATATATATTTACACATTTATATAGAGGTTTTAAGTGTCAAAGGGAACCAGGCGCTAAGTGCATATATGATATGGACATTGCACTTCATAATGGACGCCCATTGTGGCTCAAGCGCCCGCTGAGAGGAAAACAACCGCGTGATGCTCGCAATGCTTCGTTAGGTTCGGCTGTCCCAGCACTAAGGTACCACCAATCAGAGATATCCAGAACAAGGATTCATTTGCTCACAGGTTATCAGCCGTAGAGCTCACTTCTCCCGCCGGGAGAGTGGTGCCTGCGTGCTGGTAGCCGGGCCGTCTGAGCAATTGATTGAGGACGCAAAGGACCAATCAGCTCATCGTCGCAAAGATGCAAGGCGGCAGCGGAGACTCGCGCACCACGCAGTTTACCTTCAATGAGAACGCCGCTATGCCGGTCGAAGAGGTCAATCAATCTTCCCCTGGTGACACGGCAGACAGTGGCGGGATACGCTCTACCCGAACTACACAGTCCGGATGGCAAGTCACATCAAACAGACGAAGAATATCCACTCAAAGTACACCTAGATCTTCTCGAAACAGTGCTCGGAGTGATGTTGTCCGTCAAGGGCATCGACCATCTCGAGGACGAACTACTCCAAGGGACAGATCCACCAGGGCCGTGACCGACCGAATTGGTGAGAGGACCGGGGATAGTCGTGTTAAGAGGAGATCAACAGATACTTCTGTGGCTAGTGAACCTATTGCCATGATAGAGGAACTACGGGCACAATGTCAGTCCCTACGTAATCAGCTGAACAACATGGAAGCATACGCTGCATCTAGAGACCAACTGATTCATGACATCGAGATCAGATTCACTGAATATCTTCGGGAACACAACCAGAATGTACTTGATGAGGTCAATGCACTCAATAACAGATTATTATGTTCCGCAAATGAGGTTGCAGAATATCAAGCAGAACTAATGGTAGCATCTCAGGAAGATGAAGGTGCAACAATGCGCATCCAAGACCTTGAACGCCGAGGTGCCCTAATGGAACATGGTGCACGACGGATCCATCAACGTGGCATGGAGATCCAGGAAGAGTACAAGGATGAAGTACATCACCTTCAAGGACTACTGGGTAATACGGAGGCAAGACTTCAACAACTTCATCAGACCAATGTCTTAACCACCGATATTGCCAATCGACTATACAATGAAGGTCAGGAAATGCAAACAGACTTCCAGAATTCAATCATGGAATATCGGAATCGATCCGAGATGGCATCCTTCTCTAGCAATCAACTTGAAGTGATTAGCCAACAACAATCAATTGCAGTTCATGAATTGTCTGAGCGAAATCAACTATTGAGTGAAGCCTTGACTCAGTCTCGTAAACAGGCCGAGCTGTATGAGAGCAGTATTGATGAGATCACTAGAGAATCTAGGAAGAAGGTGTTCGAGGCAAATCAGGCCAAGTTGGAAAGTGACCTGAAGCATCGGAATACCGAACATGATACCGTCAGAAGAATTGCATCATACAGGAACCAAGAGGCCGAAGCAATATCGCACCTGAGGCTTGAATCACAGGCTAGCACAAACTCAATCGCAAAGGCAGAGCATTATGAGGAGCTCTATGCGAACGAGCAGAAGATGAACTGCGAACTGAAGGATGAGATCAAGTTGCAGAACGCGAAGTTACGGAGATCGCTGACTCAGGGTTCTACGACCGACGGTCGTGGCCCCGATGAGATGCTTGTCGAAGATCTGCGTAATCAGGCTAAGATCGCTCAAATCAGGGTTCAGGACCTAGACCATGAAATTCATGAATGTTTACAAGAGAACCTATTGTTAAAGGAGAGATTGACTGAAGTTGCGGATGTAGGGGCGCCGTCCCTCACCAATACCGAGGTCCGAACTCTGAAATCTGAACTAGAGAATGAGCGCAAAATGGTATTGGCTAGTGGTGTTCAACAATATGAGAGATCATGCATATTCATGGGAGAAATCCAGGATAGGGATGAAAAGATCGGTATTAAGAATTCTGAGATTATGGACATGAAACGTCAAGTAGATGAAATGAGGAAGAGTCTCAAGGATTCTGAAATATCCATGTCAAGGGTCAACCCTGACACGCTTTCCTATTCTGCAGGCATTCCCAACTACGATCTCGCATCAAGACTAGTCATCGACAAATTGGAGAATGACGTGAGTGAGGCTAACTGTGAAAACGCTATTCTGAAGTCTTGGGTCTCGCAGATTGACAAGGAGTTGAACCATGAAACAAATGTAGCCAAATCCTATCGCGAACATGCTGTACATCCTCAACGACAACCTTCTCAATCAAACAAAAGAATCACTGATTTGTTGAGAGAAGTCGACAATAGGATCGCTGACGGAACTGAGAGGGACTACTACAAACCACCGAGTGGATGGGGCGGTCCGCCTGACCCTGATGGACCTCCTGACCCTTTCGGGCCCAACGGTCCAGGACCACCTCCTGAACCTCCGGGATTGCCTTCAGTTCGAGGATCACAACGTGATTCAGCAGATGATGTCTCCACTGCAGCTTACACGGCAGAAGAAGCGCCAAGAATGTCACGACGGGAGGCTGACAAGGTCTATGTTAGCCCATGGCCGAAACAGCAGAATCTTGGGGTCTGGCAATCAGATCTCATTAAGAGTGTTGTTCTTGCTGCCAATGATGGGGACAAAGCCGCATGGGAAGCATGGTTACAACCGGCTATTCGACCAAATCCCGATATCGAGCTATTGAATGACAGTGGAGGGCAACGATACCAGTCAATCGACGCCAAGTTGTCAATCGCATTGTCAAACGTGATAGCCCAAGCCGGTGATGTTGCTCGTCACGTAGCGATCAAACTGAGATTGAGGACACAAAGTCATAGTCGAAGAGGAACCTATGTCATGGGACGGGAAATCTTGGCTATGATCTTGGAGCACTTCAGAACTCCAGGTCTACGAGAGACAGCCTTCACTATGGAGCACATCGTATCGATGAAGTATCTCGGTGACTCAAACCTGGAAGTGTTCTACGAGAAATGGATGGAGATGGTATCTAACATGATGCCGGATGATGTACCTCCTGATGATTGGCTTCGTGATGCTTTATACAAGAAGATTCGAAATTCGAGCCTTATGATGTTCGACATCAAGCAGTACGAGTCATGGATGGAGGGAGACCAAAGACGAAGCTATCGCTATCTCTTGGACGTCATCGAAAGACATATCTCCAGAATTAGAGAGGACAAGCATGTAGCCGCTAGAGAAAAGTATGCAAGAGATTTTGCAGGTGGCGGCAAACCTTCAGCTCCTGCGCCAAATCCGACTGCTGCTGCACCGGATGCGAACCCAAAAGCAAAGCCTAAGGCTACTCCCAAGGAGAAGGCAGCACCCAAGGCGAAGGCCAAGGCCGATGCAGCTCCGGTTCTACCATCTCCTCAGCCTAAGCAGCATGCAAAAGGGAAGGGAAAAGGTCAAGGGAAAGGAAAGGATCGAGCAAACAGCCGAAGTGCCAGTCCGAGATCCAAGAAGAAAATCCCGTGCCATTTCCATTTCATCAAGAAAGCATGCAGAAAGGGCAAAGATTGCGAATACAGTCACGACCAAAAGGTGTTCGATGCAAACAAGAATGCTAAAGGCAACGGTCGAAAGCCAGGAACTCCAAGAAGTCAATCTCCTGCAAACAAGACCAAGAAGATTGATGAGCCATGCTGGCATTGGGCCAAGGGCAAGTGTCGGTATGGAGACAAATGCAACAAACGCCACGATCCTCATCTATTCAACACTGCTCCAAACACTGAGGCATCGAGCTCAAAGGCTACACCTGCACTTATCCATGATTGGAGTGATGATGAAGGGACGTTCCACAAGGTTGCATCGAACGTGATCAAGAAGAAGGTCAGATTCAATGAGTCTAATAATACCGTTCAGACTTACGTGAAGAAGGACTTCGTGAAGTGCAACCGGAAATCTCAAACTACTCCCAAAGGTCATGGTAAAGTTGGTAAGCCCACTGATCAGATAAGGAAAGATGAACAATGGTCTTATTCATGCAGGTTAGCTTCGAGCCGAGGGAAAGCAATGGCTATCCTGATCGATGAGAAGGGTGAGTACAGTGACATTGATGAAGTCCTGGTCATCGTCGGCCCCAGTATGGACATTCTGATCAGACTCGACATTGAGGACGATGAGGTGTCCAGGGAAGTTTTTGTAGAGAACTATGTCCAGCATATTAAAGGCCGATATGGTAAAAGGGGCAACACAATGTGTATCACTGTTCCTGTTGAGGAGAGAGATAAGAGATTCATATTGGATTCCGGAAGTGGTCATGATCTCATATCATCCACACGAATTAACAGAATGGATCTCCCAACATATGATGACAAGGTCGTCAACTTCCACACAGCAAATGGGGTGACATGTTCGACCAAACGTTCAAGCATCAAGTTCGAGGCATTCAATGAACCAGCAGAAGCCCACATCCTGGAAGACACGCCCTCTGTGCTCTCCATGGGAAAGCGATGCGTTGATCTTGGTTACTCATTTGTTTGGCCGACTGGAAGAACCCCATTCATGTTGGATCCCAATGGCAACATCATCGAGATGACCGTCAAAGACTACATCCCCTATGTGAGCGTCGATCAAGAGAAGAGAAAGTTGAGATCATCATGTGTGGAAAAGATTATGGCAGTTCTTGATGACGGATGCTCAACGTCAGAAGGAGAAGGTCTTTT